TTCTAAACAATATGCAATCTTTCATTTTTCGCTAAACGTCCCCATTAGGGAGTTGAAGGGCTGGCCCCTAAATATTTCTTTTGCAAATAACTCGAAAACGAAACAGAATCTCTGAATAGTTGTTGAACAAAAAGTGTTCAAAATCCTAAGAGGTTTAAAATAAAATCCAGAAAAAGGGGCTGGATGCTCAAATTAAGGGCCGAGAGGGGCCAAAAGTCTTTAATTAATACCTCTTTAGCAAGCAATATTTTGATATACATTACTGAAGCAAAAATGTTAATCTCAACAATCTACAACTATGTATGATGATTTTAATGTCGCATGGTACATAGTTAGGGGTCATAAGGTGCCAAAATGCTAAATCTTTGACGCTTTATATCTCAAAATTTGGGAATATTTTGATAAGTAATATTGAACAAAAGATGTTCAAAATCATGTTATAAACAATATGCAACCTTTCATTTTTCGCTAAAGGATTTAAAGGGTTGGCCCCTAAATATACTTTTGCAAATAAATCGGAAACGAAAAAGAATCTCTGAATGGTTGTTGAACAAAAAATGATCAAAATCCTTAGAGCTTTAAGATGATATGAATAAAAAGGGCTGATTCCTAGAATTAGGGGCCGTGAGGGGCCAAAAGCCGACTTTTTAAGTCTTTAATGTTTAATGTCTTTTTACAGACTAATGAGATTATGGAAAATCATTATTTTAGAATGAAAATCTCAATCAAAATCTTATCTCATCTCATCAAGAATCGGACGGAAGACCCACTCGTTGCTCGCAACGAGATCGTATCTAGTTATTATTATTATTATTATTTTTTTGACTTTCTAATTTTGTGCACACGATTTCTCAAAGACTACTGGATAGAACTACATGAAATTTTCACAAAAGATGTGTCGTAACATGAACTTGATCTATCTGAGCGATTTTTTGGAAATTCCCTTTTGGTGCCAAGTTACGGGACATTTCCTGATTTTAAAATGACATTTTGTCCGCGATTCATCTCACGAACGGTAAAAGATATCAATGTGAAACTTTCAGGGATTATAGATCATGATATTCCCCTTCCAGGACGCGACCTTTCGTTCGTCGTCAGTACTTCCGGTCGTTACGACAAGCGAATTAAGAAAATAGTATTTTCTAACTTTTTTGTTTTTTAATATTTTTTATTGATTTTTGGAATGATAACAGAGACCCTTTGATTGATGCTTACTATATAAGTTGTTTGGATATTGGTTAATCAGAACTCTAGATATTAATATTTGAAAATCTGAAGCGGGACCAAGATGGCGGCTGTCTCTGTCAACTCCGCCATTTCGCGAGTAGGGGTTTATGGAGGCAGCTGAGCGTTTGATTAAATCATTCTGACATAAGGATACATGAAATGTACAAAAACTACTTGGACTTTCACGTAGAAGTACGCTGCAATTCAGTGTAAATCTTAAAATTTAATTTCCGTTTCACTGCTTTAGTGTAACTGGGCTAGATACGTGTGTACAATGTGTTAAATATACTTTCTTAATGTCGAAATAAAATAAAGGCGATAAGAAGTTGTTTTATTTAATATTTAATTTCATTGAAGCTATCACACCTATTTGATAGATCAGCCCAAAGGAAAGGCACGAATATTTACTCGTGGTGTTTGGCGCGAGATTATGAATAGTGGCCCGCCTTTTATGATTCTTAGACAGGTGTTACAGGTGTACTGTATACACAAATATATTTAGAGTATTATTCAAAATTTATTAGTTTTTCAAGAAACGTATCCACTGTGTTTCCCATGCACACTTGTGTCATATTAAACTAATACAAGAGACAGAAATAAGAAAACCCTTTTTAAATAAGATCGTCTAATGGAGTTTATATTAACATTCTTTTCTCAATAATCTGACTCAAGTTATTGAACATAAATGGTACCTGATACATTGACGTAGGGTGAATCATGTTTTTCGGCGAACCATTTCAACCTTTTTGTGAAAGTGTAACTAATCGGCAAAGTTCACTTTGGGGATAAACGAGAAATTAAAAAAAAGTTTAAAATTATTAATAGTCACTTCACACCTATTTAATAGATCAGTCCAAAGAAAAGGCGCGAAGATTTAGTCGTGGCGTTTGGTGCCTTCTATAATTTTTAGACAGGTGAACTGTTGCAAAAGTATAGACAAGTACATTTAGAGCAGAACTCCCAATAGCGAAAGAAATAAAGCGCCACGACTTACTCGTGACGTTATGCGGGAAATTGTGAATGGCCTGCACATGGGCGTCGGGAGCAAATTGAAAGGGGGGGGGCTAATCGAAAGTGATTCGTAGTTCTTAGACAGGTGAAGAAGTATATACATGTACATTTAGAGCTGTGGACTCAACAGCGTAATTTAAGCGCGTTTGGAATAAAGAGGAAAAAAAGCGCGTTGAATTTTCACGCTGGCGACATGGGTTCAATCCTTTTTGTGACCAATTTTTTTTATCACTTTTTCAGCTCGATTTTAGGTTTTTTTCTTAAATCGGACGGAAGACCTCTCGTTGCTTGCAACGAGATCGTTTCTAGTTATTATTATTATTCTTTTTATTATTTTTTTTCCAAAATTTTGTGCACGCGATTTCTCGAAGACTACTGGATGGAATTACATGAAATTTTCAGAAACGATGTGTCGTAACATGAACTTGATCTATCTGAGCGATTTTTTGAAAATTCTTATCTGGTGCCAAGTTACGGGACATTTCCTGATTTTAAAATGACATTTTGTCTTCGGTTAATCTCAAGAACGGTAAAAGATATCAATGTGAAACTTTCAGGGATTATAGATCGTGATAGATACTAACCAGGACGCGACCTTTCGTTCGTCGTCAATACTTCCTGTCGTTAGGAGATGCGAATTGAAAAAAGCGTATTTTCTAACTTTTTTGTTTTCCAATATTTTTTATTTATTTTTGGAATATTAATAGAGACCATTCTATTGATGCTTACTATATAAGTTGTTTGATTATTGGTTAATCTGAACTCTAGATATTAATATTTGAAAATCTGAATCGGGTCCAAGATGGCGGCTGCCTCTGTCAACTCCGCCATTTCGCGAGTAGGGGTTTATGGAGGCAGCTGAGCGTTTGATTAAACGATTCTGACATAAGGATATATGAAATGTAAAAAACTACTTGGACTCTCACGTAGTAGTGAAATGGTTGGAGGAGTTACGTCCCGTTACTTGTTTATATTATAATAGCTAATCAATAAAAATATTGTAATTAATTGGTCAATTGACAAAAGAATTATACAAGTATTATTGATAAATGATGTTCTGTTAGAAAATAATAATAGTGTTGCCAAAAGAAAGACAGTCTGTTGTATTTTATCAATATGATATCTGATAACTTATGATCATTGATTAATTTGAGGTACAAGGGGGCAGTGCAGCCAACTGGCTTGTGTCTTCACTTTGGTACAGAAACCAATTGGTGTAACGATCAAATCGGATTGTGCAAAGTTGCTGTAGTTAGTGACTAGCTAAAATACAGTTGTGTGACGTTAGCTATAGGTTTCTCATTAGGACAGAGAAGCTTTTACAAAGTTAAATCATATTATGTAAGTATATTGTAGCCACTTGGCTAGAGTTATAATATGGCAACTTGGTAAGCAGTAAGACACCAGGCAGGTGTTAAAGGCTAAATCAAGAGGCACCAGGCAGGTGGCTGTTGACTTATATAGTCAGTTATATAGTGAGGCAATTGTCATATGGCACCAGGCAGATGCCGGTATTAACTGAAGATATATAATTGTACAAAGCACTTAGGTCATTTGATTTAAAGACACCAGGCAGGTGTCATATTATTATCTGTATATATTGCATTCAATCGTTTCCCCAGTAAAACTCGGTAATCTGAGCACGGACCTACTGACCGCTCAGGTCCGACACGTTACAGCAGAACGTTGCAATTGAGTGTCAATCTTAAAACTTAATTTCCGTTTCATTGCTTTAGTGTAACTGGGCTAGATACGATATGTAATGTGTATAATGTGTTACATATACTTTCTTAACGTCGAAATAAAAAAAAAAGGCGCTAAGAATGTTTTATTTTTAAAATTTAATTGAAGCTATCATACCTATTTAATAGATCAATCCAAGGAAAAGGCGCGAACATTTACTCGTGGCGTTTGGCACGAAATTATGAATGTTTTTTTTTTTATAATTCTTAGACAGGTGAACTGTTGCAAAAGTATACACAAGTATATTTAGAGCAGTACTCCCAATAGCTTAATGGTTAGCGCGTTGGGGATAACAAAATATCTTTAAAAAAAGCGCATTCACTTTGGCGCAGGTGTATAATGATGGACCTCCTCCTTGTGACCAAAATTTTGAATCTCTTTTCAGCTCGATTTTACGTGGGTTTCTTTTCCTAAAGTGGACGGAAGACCTCTCGTTGCTCGCAACGAGATCGTATTTAGTTATTATTATTTTTTTTTTTTACAAATTGTGCTCATTGTTGCATAGGGTAAGATAATATATATATTCATTTGGTCAAATTTTCGTGGTTTTAGGGAAAAAATCTGGTTCGAGGGGAATTTGATTCAATGGCTGAAGATGCATTGCATACTTAGTAGTAATATGTCTGAAAAATCAAATTTCGTGGTTTAGGGTGGACTTAAATTATGTTTACTTTCATCCCCCACGAAAATAAATGATTTCACAATCAGACAATTCATTAAATTCTCTCTCTCTCTCTCTGCATATGTAAAACAAAAAGCATTTTAAAGAACAAAAAAGAAGAGTTCATTGAAGAAAGATTTTTGTGTGAGATATTTTTTTATTTCCTTTCACATGATATTTATATCAGCATGAATTGGTATGAATAATAAAGAGTTAATTTTCAAAAAAAAAAACAAAAAAAAAACTAATTAATCTTAATCAATCAAAATACACAAAAGGGGCACTAATTAAAATTCTGAAGTCAATGCCAATGGCATATCTATAAAAAGCACGTGAATATTATTTCCTTGACAAAACAACATGATATTTATCATTTTTCTTTGCACATCAGGATGTTTTACTGTAAATGCAAAAATAATGAAGCTGGGTGATGTTGTTCAAGGTAAGAATTAGTCCATAATGGAATTTTAAGAAGTAATACATAAGTTTTTTTAGTCTTTACACCTTTCTGTGAAAAAAATGCATTTAGTCTAAGAATAATTAGCGTTCTAACATGCCGTGTATGGTCTGTGTAACAATTAACAATTCTAATATAATTTGTTGGTTTAGAATTTTAGTCAATTATTTTATATTTCTAAATTGCAAGAACTTAACCTAAAATTAAATATTTTAGCTAAAAAAAATTTTTGTTTCAAACTTCCGTACACATTTGAAAACTTTAATTTTTCAGTATTTTAATTTAAATATTCAATGTTTAAATTTCTGAAAATGATCTTCTTTAGAACTCTTTTTTTAAATCACTTATTTTTTAAGCCATCTTATGTTCATAGGCTTAACAATGTAAAATCATGTACTTTTTTGTCTTTTAACCTTTTAACGTTTGCTTCAAATAGGTAAATTTCACCTTTGAAATAATCAAATTTTAGAATAACATTTCGTACATTTTGAGCTTTAGAAATCTTCTTGAAATATCCCAAATTAAAACTACCAAACAATCCTAAATTCAATTTCTCAAGCCTGATTTCCTTTTATAAAGACGGCCGATATAAATTGATATCTTATAAAGTTTAAATAACTGGAAAAGATTTTCATGGAAGGAAAGTAGCGCTAATCAATTCGTTCGAAGCCAATGTGATATTCTCATCTTTTATTTTAAAGGCACAAGGACTATTTTTAAAATTAAAATTTCCCTAAAATGTTTCAATGAAGTTTGCCTCAAAGAAATTTCACATATGGCCCCCAAAACCCGTGTAGCTGCGAAATGGTCTACAAAACGGGTGCACTGACGAGTCCTGGATTTTGTAAGCTACATACTTTGAGGACAAAGTTTTGTAATTCCCCTCTTAAATCTATCTATGGAGTGTTCCATGAGATGATCTTCATCATGTACAGTTCCAACTTTAAAACAAAAAAGAAGGCGAATAAGCGCGAAAAGTGTTATTTGCGAAACGAAGCCCTCTGAATCGTTTGAATATCGATGGTTGAAAATCTAGCAGAATATATAAACAATGCTCCATACTTTTTCCCTTTTTCTTAATTTGAAGAGTAGAAAGAAAACAAAGATACAATCACTAGTTGAAACAACGCAGATGTGTAAAAAACACTCAGATATTCCTACTTGACTACATCAGAGATAAAGGTTACGTTTTATTAGGCAAGATGACGTAATCTTGGGACACAAGTTTTCTTAATATTGGTATTTGATCATATTTGCAAGTTTCTTTTCATGTTTCGTAGTTTGATAACATCTCTAAATATTACTTGAGCACTTCTTGGCCTCAGATACTCTATTTTCTTTATTCAATATTTAATAATAGTTAACATGAAAGCGGACTGATAGTACATTAATTATGGGCATTAAGGACGTGCGCTTTTTGCTAGAACTCTTTCAAGAGCGTTAGCACCTACGTTTGTGCATATTTCTGGAATACGCGTTCTCGGGTTCACGGTCGGGCATTCTGGAAAAAAAAATTTCACGGTCTATGTAAACAAGTTTAGCTTTTAAAAAAAGCTTAGAGAGTCAGCCAGTGGATTTTTCTTCTCTATGATAATGTTTTAAAGAATCATAGAGAACTGAAAAAAATGCCTTCAACAAATTATTAATCAGTAGCAGAGATGGGCACTAAAATTAAAAATTTTTAAAAAAATTTTTTCTGCATAGGAACAGAAGCGTTTGTGCATGCAGATTCTTGCATTTTTTGTCTCAAAATCAAAAGAACGGAAAGTATGTATAAACATTTAAGTTCCAAGTTCCAATTCACGTAACATAATTCAAAGAATTTATAAACCTACAATCCCATTACATGTATCAGATCTATAAGATTTTAGGGGGAGGGGGATATATTGACATTATGCCATTTTTAACAAAACGGAGCCCAATAAGCTACACTATCATCCTTGTTTGAGTTTATCATGCCGCCGGTTGAATCACTCTTGGCTTGGTGTTTAGTCCCTGCGATATACTTAAACAGCCAAACTGAACCTTCGTTTGAGAATACAAATAAAGGATTGTTGAAATACATAGTACTTTTTCTAGTACATTTTAGAATTAAAAAAAAACATTTATTGTTCATTCAAACAGGTAACATGTAAGCTTTGGCGGTATATCAAAAGCTTTTTTTAGTTTATTAAAGCTGAACACTCTTCATAAATAGGCATAGGTCGCCATATTTCTCGTTGTCCAACGCTCTCCCCACAACCCATATAAGGAGAAGATCGCTTATCAGTTCAATGTATTTTGCTGTAGAGATCCGACGAGTGTAGACGTACATCTTACACAGCCGTGTAACTCGGTCGAGATGAAATTATCAAATTTAACGTATTTTTTCCACTAAAGGACAATAGTATCATGAAAAATACAGGTCAATACATTATATACAAGTAGAAAATGCACATAAAAACAAGGAAAGAACGCTATAAATCTAAGATCACGCAAGGAGTACTATACGTCGGACACGAGTTTCGAATGTGCAACCGAGTGTAACGAAATCGGACGGTTTATATACCCGTCTGACAGTGGGCGCACTTGTTTCAGACAGCCGGGCGATGACCCGGTTCACTTTTATCACATGGCATATTGACCCGGTTAGTGTCGCTGAAACGAGTGAAAAATAAGCCGGATTGGCTGGTATTGGTGCTGTTGCTGTAAAAAAAATTATCAAAATTATCTGAACGCACGAGAACAACGATTTAGTGGATATATTTCGTTTTAATATATACTAGTTCCATTCAATGTACAATTTGTGAATTTGGAGCATAGAGGGTCTCGTTACCCACAGAACTGAAAAGCAGCTATAAAATTTATTGAAAAAAAAATTGTCGTGCAAATGTAAACAAATATGTTGTAAAAGTCTCTTATTATCCCAGTAGAGTTTGTTTATTGACACCGAGACTACGACAAATGATAAAAAATGAATGTTTCACCATCAAGAACATTTCTACCTCCGTGTTCCGCCATATTGCTTTACATTTGGCCGCTCGAAATTTTTCGGGCGATCCGGGCTACTTTCTGACCGCCCGGCGGCTTATATATATTTGAAACAAGTGACTTGCCCGGTTCCGGAATAATAACCGGCTTGACCCGGCTTATGAAACAAGTGCGCCTAGTGCCTATTTATGAAACGTGTTCAGCTTTAACCATCGTCATTTGACTTACTAGTAACTAGCTGAAATTTGGCTTGAATTTTTTTCATATAAAGTAGAATTGAAGGAAAGCAAACATTACTAAGACATACAAATTCATTTATCAGACCTGTTATAATGTAATAAAACTATTAATTCATAAATATGATTGCCACAATCTAGATTATCAGGTCGTAGTTTATGAAAAACAAGCCAATTTACGGATAAAAAAAAACATGCGCAGATGGGGGGGGGGGGGGGGGTCCAGGACAGGGCCATAGGGAGTATGGTTTATGCCATTTAATTGCAAAAACTCAAAAGCTTCTTGAGATATTGACTGGAGATCAAAGTTTTACACAGAGTCACACAGGATTATGCATTCATGACATTTACGTTTGAACCTCAAAATACACAGGGGTATTCCTTACGCCATAATGATATATGGTCATAGGGAGTTGTGGTATAAAATTTCATTGCAAAAGCTCAATGGCTTATAGAGATATCGCGCGAAAACAAGTGTTTAAACAGACAGAATTTCTGAATTAATTACCTTGACCTTTGACCTCAAAATCAAGCTCGGGTCTTCTAATGGCCATATAAGGTGTAAACAGTTGTGTAAAATTTCACTGCAAAAGCTCAAACACTTAACGCATTATTGCGGGGAAGTGAAAGTGTTACAGATAGACAGAACTATCGATGGACGGACAGACAGACTGAAATTGATATTCTCTAGTTTAAGCGGGGAGGGGGGGGGGGGGCAACAAACGAGCAAGCTTAGCCAGTTGTGTTTTCTTTCCGAAGTATCTGTTGTATGACTTAACAAGTCTGTCCGCTATTTTAGCATCGGGATCGAAATGATTTGTAGTGAAAACGAAAGTAAAAGCAGTAAAAACTGAAAAGCTTAAAATATGTAATAAAGCAAAGTTTGTGCTGTAGATTTAAATACACAAGTATAAAATACCTTCAATATATTTTATAAAAGAGCTTTAATTTACGCGTCAAACACTAAATTCATCCAACAGTAGCAAATGTATGCTTCGCTGCGTAGAACACATGATCAGGTGCGAACCAGTTAAATTGCTGCGAACCAGTAAACTGTTTGAAACCTTCTATACAAAAATAAGCATCGGGAAATTCCTTTTTGAGTTAAATTTACAGATTACTTTGGTGTTTAATAGGGATTTGTTGGTTTATAATCTATATTGATTTTACTGAAATAAAATTAGCAGGAGTGATTTACTGCAGAACCATTCCCAGAATTCCAGGTCACGCAAGCGCATTGGAAGTTCTTCGTACCATAACTAGTCAGCCCGCGGGCTGACTAAAAATACTGTAGATAGACTGTACGATAACGATTTCGTTGTGTAATTGAATAAAACTGGCCTTCTTTGTTTGATTCTGAAGTCTGTTTATTTAATGTGTACCTTGAAATCACCAATTTTCGTGGAAGTTGAATTTGCGTTGTTTTCGAGGTATGGGGAGACCCATGAATTCAAGACCGCCACGAACTGTAAAATTTTATATGCAGTATTACTCAACACCACCATCAAATTCCCACATATCAATATATTTTTCTCAAACCTCGAAAATTTGCACCGACGAAAATATGTGATTTTTCAGTAACTTACACTTTAAAGTTAATAACACACAACAAAAACTTGGGTCATGAAATGCCAAGATTCTAGACATCTAGCTTGCCAGTAATACAAGCTTGTCAACCTCATAAAAAATCTTTTATTTTCTCCTTTTCAAAGTTTGTTGACAAGACACGATAAGCGATTGATACAATGCAGTTCCACACTAACATAATTTTAATTCTATAAAATATACTTCACAAAAAATTATAACTCTATTTTTCAGACTCCAGCCTCGTTAAACATTAAACAAAACTGCAAAATAAACCAGTCTTTCACAAACCTTCCTTTCTGTTTAAAAATTGCTTCGGTGCTAGCTCGCCTATCTAAGCTAAACTTGAATTAGCTATTCCAGCTTTGTTTGACTGTTGACTCTTTCTACAGAGACATATTTCATTGTAGAAAATACTGAACCCACTTCTGTTGAACGTTCAAATATAAACTGTATGGACAACGGGCCACTTGTGTTTCGAGGCGGCGATCCAACGTCTTTTTTCGGTTCATTATGTCTCCCTCCACCAGGAAAAGTAAAACAATGTGCCATTTTCGGTAAGTCCAAATAAAATTTCAAACGAACAAAAAAAAAATCGAATAGATAGAAGTAGAAAAATATAAACCTGATTCCATCTTAGACACAACTTTTCATATACTGAAAATAGAAATATGCATATTTCCCGATATTCAGTTTAAAACTTATAATACGACTTATTTTGCATTTTCAATATTATTTTATTCTTCTTCAAGACGCTGGTGCATTTGAAGCGTTTGTTTGCCCACAGAAAAGCTATTTCAATGGGATCAACTCTGACGCGGGACAGAGAAGGGTTATTTGCTGTTCTGGTTCGTACATGTAGCTTCTAAAAGCTTCCTTTAATTGGTGAAGATAATTGCATCTTTTAAGAGGAGGTTAAATATCATAGCATTCTTGTTTTATCTACAGCGTATCTTTTTTTTAATTTATGCATTTCATGCAGCTTTATATGCAATCTGTATTTCAAATTTTAAAAGAAATTAAATGCTTTTTTCTCTATTTATATAGTGTTTGGAATTTCCTACACTGACAATGAATGTAAAATATGGTTCCGAACGACAGAAAACTTTGTATCACCATTTGGTCCAGGATATTTAGTTACAGGAAGAATGCCAGTTTCAGACGGGTTGGTATAGCATCTATTCCGGTTAATGATAACCCAAGTGATAATCATTATTATTATTGATATTAAGATTATGAAGAATTTTAAAGTTTGAATACATGTACATGAAGTATAATTTTTTTCGTTTTCAGAATGGGAGGTATTCGTGGTTTCGTCATAAGGGAATGCCCATACAGAAAAAGTCATATGTTCAACTATCCAGAAAATATCTACTATGTTTCAAAATAAAGATGTCTAGATTTTTTTTCCGTTTGCATTATACTGGAACTAAGTTCCGATTCTCAGGTTCGATCTTTAGTTGTACAATGTTAGTAGACGTTTAGCAGGTCGAGACCACTAGATTTTCTGACATCAGCATAAATTTGAATGTAAAATAGCTATCTGTTTACTTTACCTACTGCTGAATGAGCCGCTATGCATTGTAGGTTACTACACATACCCCGCTTTGTTGAAAATAAGGGCATCTTGAAATGTCCCGTTGGAAACTTATTTTCAATTCTTTTTTTTGAGATTTGAGAAAGAAATATTTAAAATAATGTATAATCTTTCATTTCTGTGCTCACATTTACAAAATTTGCTTTATGAAGCCTTAAATCAACTTATTACATCAGCCTAAACCATTGTTCAAAGAGGCGTTGGTGCTTTCGTCTGATCGTGTCGATAAAACATTGATTTTTTTTTCACGTGATTAACGTGTACTTAGTTTTAGCAAGTAATTTATAGGTCCTTGGTTTTAGACAGCAGAAAAAGGTGTGCAGTTTTTATTTAGCCCCTCATTATTATCAGAAAGTGTTTTATGTACATGCAAACGTCAAAGCGTTTGTACGGTATTCGAAGCAACTATTAATCATCTAAAACAACTCCAATATTAAATGTGAGCATGGAGCTATGTCTTTAGAATATAATTTCAATTTCGGTCTTATAAAGTGATAAAGGAGCTCTACAGTTTTTCCAGTGACGAGTTAAATATTGTGCAGTAAACCGACGAAAACCACGTGTCGCCATTGAATCGTAAACACGTAGTAGACTGTCATGCTTGGGACTCATTCACTTGATTGGAGAACGTGTGTGACGAAGACATCGTCACGTGTTGAAAATTGCCTTCCATATAAGGTAGTTGTCTCGACCTGTTTAGCAAACTCAGTGATCACGAATAGTATCTTTGCCCATGGGCGTTAAAACGTGTATTAAAAATTGCAGTTCGAGAATGAAGCTAAGACTTAACTTTTGCATTTTGTTTACTAAAAAGGATACCATAAGTACAAAAAAAAAAACAACAAAAAAAACAAAAAAACAAAAAAAAAAAAACAAATCCTGAATGAATATAATGAAAATATTCCTTTTTTTATAACCCCCGCTTTGAAAGTGATAGTGTATATAGTGATTCGGATGTCTGTCCGTCCGTCCGTCAATATCTGTCTGTACGATACGTCTATTCGTCTGTTACACTCTGGAATACCTATCTCTTATCTGCAACTCCTCTTATATCACTGAATGAAATCTATGTAACATAGTGTAGTGCTATTTTGCACCGCCGACTTTACCTTTTTATCTGACACATATTCTGGGTTTCCTATAGAAAAAAAGGATACTGCCCTTATATTCATATGTAAGGGTGGGGTATCATTTAATGAACTCAGTGCTCATAGTACCAAATTCAAATTAGCCAGAAAAATTTAATCCTTTAATAATCAATCTCTTTGTTTGATCTTGATCCAAGCATTTTGCCATATCTTTTTGTGGGGGTGCATGACAGATGGTCAGTTTCACAGCTTATATATTTTGTATAGATTAAGTTCCAAGTGATGAAAAATTGATTTCAAAAAATGAACAAAAAATTAACATATTTGCTATCGAGAGTTTTACATTAACTATGCAGAATCCATTAGGTTTTACCCTGTGCAAAAACTATTATATCGAAAAGAGACGAATTATTTTTTTCTTTTAAGATTCGCTTTGAATAATAATCAGAGTGATATTCATTAAGGGATTTTTTATCATTTATTCTTTTAAATTTAGTAATTTGTTTTAGCAATCTTTCAAATTATCATGACTTCCATTTAGATATTTATCGATTACATGTAAAAGAACATTGAATAGCCCATGTTTTTTATTCCTTATTGCTTTCCTTTCATCCTGGAAGAATATTTTTTTTACACATACTTTTCCTCCTTCCTTTGTTTGACTGCCATACATGTACGTATTCACCATTTTAGAAAGCGCTTGATTTGAATTATAAAACAAATACTATGTTAATCTCTCCATTTTAAACAATACCGGTCTTAAATATAAGATACAAGAAGGGATTGGATTTATTTAGTCAATTTGAGTTTTCAATTGTTTGTATGCTATAATTTCATTCAGTATTTTCTCAAACAGATTTATGTTACTCTTTCGATTGAGGAAGCTCTTTTATCTTTTTTCTGCATTAAGAGTAGTTGCGTGTTTAAGTCTTAAAGCAACCTGTTACTAATAATGCAGTGTATGAAATGCACAGTAAATCGATATACTTATAGAGTAGAAACATCATTTCTCTGAACTTTTTAGTTTTGAAATAAAACTGCCAATGCATTTTTGTTTATTTTAATTTTTTCAGAGTCGGATTCTTGTCTTTGTTAAAATGTCTTTTTTTAATAAAAAAAAACTACTAACAGGAATTCTCTCTTTTAATCTAGCAGTTAATCATAGCAATTTTTTTAGTTTGGAAATCTAATTGTCAAGGCACATGTGTTTTTATTGTGACAAGACCTTGCAGTGCGTATAAATATGTTTGATCTTAGACTTTAACCCATTTTTAAAGAACTTTAACCTTGGTCATACCTTTTGAACAGTAACAACTATAGCTTTCATATTTCACGGGTGTATTCCTTGTTACAAATCTTTCCTTTGGGGTATAAAGAACTTCGACATTTTGACCTTGACAATCGGAGTTTGAATTGTAGTTAATCAAAATTCTCACTATATTCAAAGTATATGTATATTTAATAGGAATTTCCACATTATGTATTAATATATGCACCCGTATTCCACATATTTCATAATACTAATTAAATACTGATTAATTACTCAGAGACATATTCAAATATATGATCTAGATGAGAACATGAACAAGCCCAGTATTTACTAGTAAACTACTATGTCTGACTCACTGCATGGCACAGAAAAACTCTTAATATATTTTTTAATTATTTGATTATATTGACATAATAAACAAACTTCATTTAGCTTATTATCTTAATCCAATTCATATTCAATATGTGTATATCTTAGTTGATTCGATACGCAAGAGCATGCTCTACGTATGAACAATTTCTAAAACGAGGTAAATTATTGACAAGCAAGTTGATGAAACAAAAATATCAGCAGTCTCGTTTAAAGTCATCATTTCGTAAATTCTATGGTCGATACAATGACCTTGTAAGCAAATACAATTTATCATTGAGTCAAATGCTGACTGACGTTTTTCATACCAATTGTTAGTCCATTATTTATACATTGAATTGATACCGGATTTTTCCGTTATTTCACGATTATGACAATGATCACACGGCGGGTGTGACCGGTCAGCAGGGATGCTCACTCCTCCATGGCACTTGATCCCACCTCTGATGTTTCGGAGGTACGTGTTTGCTCTGCTCCTATTTTGTATTGTTTTATAGACTTTGATATTGAATACTGTTCGTTATCTTCATATCTTTCCATAGTTAAAAACTATAATTTAATTACTGAAAAAAATGATATTCTGTCAAAGTGGAAAAAATATCATTTTTTTTATTCTTTCACAGAATGACCAAAAATCAGGAGTGCAGCTACATTCTCATTTAAGAATGACTTCAATGCACAGTTGGTTTCTTTTTCATTATAAATGATAAAATGACAAAATGACAAATCAAAAGTGATATATAAATTTCGTATCCAGGCGATGAATGTATATTGCTGCATAACTAAGGGAGGTTGACGATTGAAAAATTAAAGTCGTCACGTTTATCATAGACTCTGTGGTATCTTTTATCTCAAGTTCACCAGGATATACATATGGTATTGCTATCAGATCTAAATCTTGAGTTGAAGGTCACGAGTGTTTTCTCTTACTCTAAAACGCTTTCACTGCTTTAATGAAAAAGACGTAGTTTTGAATATTTTTTATCATAAAATCGTTGCTAGCAAGAAGTTTGTTTTGAACAAAATATGAACGTTAGTTGACAAAAGTTTCTTTCTAATTTCTAAATGAAGACTCTATAAAGATTTCATTCATGAAAAAAAATATTCTGGGGATTTTCTTAGCAATTCCTAAAATGTATGTACTTGCAAAATATTTACAAACGCCTTTGGTTAATAAGAAAGATAAATAATCGTTTTAAACCACCGTCCTTCCTTTCGGATCTTACATGATAATGACAACACTCTTCGTTGTATGCATATTGCTATGTGTGCTATAGAATCCCCAACAGACTCTGTCGATAAGTATTAGAGAAATAGCAAAGTTTGTAAAGGATATGGAAATAAGAGGTATAGCGAATGAATGAATATATACAGGACGCGAGAAAGATATTTAGCTCCTTTATACTAAACAAAGTTAATTTAAGGTGTGATACCTACTTTATATGTGTCTTTGATGAAAATGCAGTTTTATGATTATTTTCTTCAAATTAAAAGCAGAAACTATCACTTTCTATGCGCGTTTATCGAAAGATCAGGAAAACATTGGCAGTTATACCACTGTTACCTTTGAATTAATTTTATAACATTCCGGAAATACCTACAACGCTTCCACTGGAAGTTTTTGGCAACACAAATTGTATACAGTGGACACTCTGCTGATGACAACACTATCAATTTATTCTGACCAAAAAGGAAGACAATTAAAGAATGAACATGGCATAAGACGCATCAATCAAGGCTAATAATACCCCTGGACACCTTCCCTCTAGTGCTATGAATGATTTTATGTAGTTGAAAGTTACTACAATTTCTTTATGACCTTAGGCTTTTGAAAGGAAAAAAAGATATTTGTCCTCTGGCAAAACAGAAATCAAAACTATATCTTAATAACACGTATTATATCCCCATCTCTTTTTGACACAATTCTTCATAATCGATAAAGCACATCTACATTTTAAAGTCCTACTTTGGTTAAAATGACAGGGTAAAAATTTCTCAAGTTTCATTTTAATGATAGTAAGTATGCGTATATATATATATATATACAGTAATTGAAGACATGTTGTTTTGGGGCTTTTGATAA